TACACGTTCAACTATGACAGGACAAAATGAGGAAAACAAATCCAGAAAATCACATTTGTAGGATTTTTTATGAATTTATTTGCAAATTATGGTGGAAAATAAGTATTTGGTCAATAACCAAAAGTTCTCAATACTTTGTTATATACCCTTGTTGGCAATGACACAGGTCAAACGTTTTCTGTAAGTCTTCACAAGGTTTTCACACACTGTTGCTGGTATTTTGGCCCATTCCTCCATGCAGATTTCCTCTAGAGCAATGATGTTTGGGGCTGGGCAACACGGACTTTCAACTCCCTCCAAAGATTTTCTATGGGGTTGAGATCTGGAGACTGGCTAGGCCACTCCAGGACCTTGAAATGCTTCTTACGAAGCCACTCCTTCGTGCCCGGGCGGTGTGTTGTGATCATTGTCATGCTGAAAGACCCAGCCACGTTTCATCTTCAATGCCCTTGCTGATGGAAGGAGGTTTTCACTCAAAATCTCACGATACATGGCCCCATTCATTCTTTCCTTTACACGGATCAGTCGTCCTGGTCCCTTTGCAGAAAAACAGCCACAAAGCATAATGTTTCCACCCCCCATGCTTCACAGTAGGTATGGTGTTCTTTGGATTGCAACTCAGCATTCTTTGTCCTCCAAACACGACGAGTTGAGTTTTTACCAAAAAGTTATATTTTGGTTTCATCTGACCATATGACATTCTCCCAATCCTCTTCTGGATCATCCAAATGCACTCTAGCAAACTTCAGACGGGCCTGGACAGCAGGGGGACACGTCTGGCACTGCAGGATTTGAGTCCCTGGCGGCGTAGTGTGTTACTGATGGTAGGCTTTGTTACTTTGGTCCCAGCTCTCTGCAGGTCATTCACTAGGTCCCCCCCGTGTGGTTCTGGGATTTTTGCTCACCGTTCTTGTGATCATTTTGACCCCACGGGGTGAGATCTTGCGTGGAGCCCCAGATCGAGGGAGATTATCAGTGGTCTTGTATGTCTAACATTTCCTAATAATTGCTCCCACAGTTGATTTCTTCAAACCAAGCTGCTTACCTATTGCAGATTCAGTCTTCCCAGCCTGGTGCAGGTCTACAATTTTGTTTCTGGTGTCCTTTGACAGCTCTTTGGTCTTGGCCATAGTGGAGTTTGGAGTGTGACTGTTTGAGGTTGTGGACAGGTGTATTTTATACTGATAACAAGTTCAAACAGGTGCCATTAATACAGGTAACAAGTGGAGGACAGAGGAGCCTCTTAAAGAAGAAGTTACAGGTCTGTGAGAGCCAGAAATCTTGCTTGTTTGTAGGTGAACAAATACTTATTTTCCACCATAATTTGCAAATAAATTCATTAAAAATCCTACAATGTGATCTTCTGGAAAAAACATTCTCAATTTGTCTGTCATAGTTGACGTGTACCTATGATGAAAATTACAGGCCTCTCTCATCTTTTTAAGTGGGAGAACTTGCACAATTGGTTGCTGACTAAATACTTTTTTCCCCCACTGTAGCAGTGACACTTCAGTTATTCTGCAATTACTATGTCCAAAATACCACAGTTAACTGAAGTTACTGCATATTTACTGCAGTTTCAAAACTGCATTCTTTTTTGTGAGGGAGGTTTTCATAATATTTTGTAAGAAATAAAGGACCAACAGGAAGATTATTTACAATTTTTATATTTCCTCCATCTGTGTTTTTCCCATAGTTATCTGTTCTGCTAACATTTCAATGTTTTTAATCAATCATGTTGGAAAACTGTATGTATGTACAGTGAGGGAAAAAAGTATTTGATCCCCTGCTGATTTTGTACGTTTGCCCACTGACAAAGAAATGATCAGTCTATAATTTTAATGGTAGGTTTATTTGAACAGTGAGAGACAGAATAACAACAACAAAATCCAGAATGTCAAAAATGTTATTAATTGATTTGCATTTTAATGAGGGAAATAAGTATTTGACCCCTCTGCAAAACATGACTTAGTACTTGGTGGCAAAACCCTTGTTGGCAATCACAGAGGTCAGACGTTTCTTGTAGTTGGCCACCAGGTTTGCACACATCTCAGGAGGGATTTTGTCCCACTCCTCTTTGCAGATCTTCTCCAAGTCATTAAGGTTTCGAGGCTGACGTTAGGCAACTCGAACCTTCAGCTCCCTCCACAGATTTTCTATGGGATTAAGGTCTAGAGACTGGCTAGGCCACTCCAGGACCTTAATGTGCTTCTTCTTGAGCCACTCCTTTGTTGCCTTGGCCGTGTGTTTTGGGTCATTGTCATGCTGGAATACCCATCCACGACCCATTTTCAATGCCCTGGCTGAGGGAAGGAGGTTCTCACCCAAGATTTGACAGTACATGGCCCCGTCCATCGTCCCTTTTTATGCGGTGAAGTTGTACTGTCCCTTTAGCAGAAAAACACCCCCAAACCATAATGTTTCCACCTCCATGTTTGACGGTGGGGATGGTGTTCTTGGGGTCATAGGCAGCATTCCTCCTCCTCCAAGCACGGCGAGTTGAGTTGATGCCAAAGAGCTCGATTTTGGTCTCATCTGACCACAACACTTTCACCCAGTTCTCCTCTGAATCATTCAGATGTTCATTGGCAAACTTCAGACGGGCATGTATATGTGCTTTCTTGAGCAGGGGGACCTTGCGGGCGCTGCATGATTTCAGTCCTTCACGGCGTAGTGTGTTACCAATTGTTTTCTTGGTGACTATGGTCCCAGCTGCCTTGAGATCATTGACAAGGTCCTCCTGTGTAGTTCTGGGCTGATTCCTCACCGTTCTCATGATCATTGCAACTCCACGAGGTGAGATCTTGCATGGAGCCCCAGGCCGAGGGAGATTGACAGTTATTTTGTGTTTCTTCCGTTTGCGAATAATCGCACCAACTGTTGTCACCTTCTCACCAAGCTGCTTGGCGATGACTTGTAGCCCATTCCAGCCTTGTGTAGGTCTACAATCTTGTCCCTGACATCCTTGGAGAGCTCTTTGGTCTTGGCCATGGTGGAGAGTTTGGAATCTGATTGATTGATTGCTTCTGTGGACAGGTGTCTTTTATACAGGTAACAAGCTGAGATTAGGAGCACTCCTTTTAAGAGTGTGCTCCTAATCTCAGCTCGTTACCTGTATAAAAGACACCTGGGAGCCAGAAATCTTTCTGATTGAGAGGGGGGTCAAATACTTATTTCCCTCATTAAAATGCAAATCAATTTATAACATTTTTGACATGCGTTTTTCTGGATTTTGTTGTTGTTATTCTGTCTCTCACTGTTCAAATAAACCTACCATTAAAATTATAGATTGATCATTTCTTTGTCAGTGGGCAAAAGTACAAAATTAGCAGGGGATCAAATACTTTTTTCCCTCACTGTATATATCCCCAGCTAGCTGCAGTTGGTAATAACACCTTGAGATACAAATCTTCTTTCCTGTTAAACATTTTAATTTTAAACCTGCAATACTCATTCATCATGCACATGTTTATTAAAGCATAATAACAACAAATAAATATACAGTCGGAACAATTATTTAAACAAAAATATTTCTCCAAATAAAATCTGACGTTTAAAATGAAACAACTTTTCAAAAATAATCAGGCTACTTGAAACTCCGGAACCAAGAAGATTATTATAAATCTCTACTTTTGACCATCAGTGGGCAGGTGTCATTATTAAATGTAGGTTCTAGACAAAGTTATTTGAGCCAATGCTGACTGGTTTGATTATTCAACATACACTCAGTGGCCAGTTTATTAGGTATACCCTGTTCACAAAAATGGTTTGCTTCTACAGACAGTGTGTCATGTGGCCGTGGTTGTGGCTGAGTGCACAAAACATTAAGAACACCTGCTCTTTCCATGACATTGACTGACCAGGTAAATCCAGGTGAAAGCTACAGTATGATCCCTTGTTGATGTCACTTGTTAAATCCACTTCAATCAGTGTAGATGAAGGAGAGGAGACAGGTTAAAGAAGGTTTTTAACTCTTGAGAAAATTGAGAAACAGATTGTGTATGTGTGCCATTCATAGGGTGAATTGGCAAGACAAAAGATTTAAGTGCCTTTGAACAGGGTATGGTAGTAGGTGCCAGGCACACCGGTTTGTGTCAAGAATTGCAACACTACTGGGTTTTTTAGGCTGAATAATTTCCTGTGTGTATCAAGAATGGTCCACCACCCAAAGGACATCCAGCCAACTTGACACAACTGTGGGAAGCATTGGAGTCAACATGGGCCAGCATCCCTATGGAACGCTTTCGACACCTTATAGAGTCCATGGCCCGAAGAATTGTGGCTCAATATTAGGAAGGTGGTCCTGTAGCTCAGCTGGTAGAGCACGGCGCTTGTAACGCCAAGGTAGTGGGTTCGATCCCGGGACCACCCATACACAAAAAATGTATGCACGCATAACTGTAAGTCGCTTTGGATAAAAGCGTCTGCTAAATGGCATATTATTATTATTATTATTATTAAGTTTTGACACTCAGTGTATAAAGCAGGGCAGACAGGCATCGAGGCATTCAGTTACTGTTCGATTGAACTTTAGAATGGGCAAAAAACTAGTGACCTAAGCGACTTTGAGCGTGGAATGATCGTCAGTGCCAGGCGCGCCGATTCCAGTATCTCAGAAACGTCCGGCCTCCTGGGCTTATTACGCACCACAGTGTCTAGGGTTTACAGAGAATGGTGCGTCAAACAAAAAACATCCAGTCAGCGGCAGTCCTATGGGCGAAAACAGCTCGTTGATGAGAGGTCGAAGGAGAATGGCAAGAATCGTGCAAGCTAAAAGGCGGGCCCACAAACAGGCAAATAACGGCGCAGTACAACAGTGGTGTGCAGAACGGCATCTTGGAGCGCACAACTCATCGGTCCTTGTCACGGATGGGCTATTGCAGCGTGAGTCCATGGCCCTATAATGTCTGGTGTCAATGATAAAGGCTGGTGGCAGTGGTGTAATGGTGTGGGGAATGTTTTCCCTTGATACCAATTGAGCAACGTTTCCATGCCCCGAAGAATTCAGGCTGTTCTGGAGGCAAAGTGGCGCCCAACCCGGTACTAGATGGGTGTACCTAATAAACTGGACACTGAGTGTATAATACAATCAGATGGATATTGTTGATGAAAATCATAGTGAATGTGATCCTCCTTAAGAATATCTGTTGGAGTTTTGGTTATGATTGATTCAACTATGCAATTATTTTCAGTTAACAAACATTTAGGAAAATAACCAACATCAGAAATGACTACATGACAAATAAAATGTAGACAAATATCGATGCCAAAACACCAAGGGACATCTGATTTCTTCTCCCACCTGTGTAGAGAAGAATGGTGCCATTAGTTATGTGATATAACCATTTCTCATGTCAGTCTTGATAATTATCTTATACAATAAGTATAATCAGTGGAGCACACATTAAGGTTGGTATCTTCCTGTATTAGAATGAATTAATAGACACTGTCATGCATTTTGATACTAAAATGCTTTCTAGAAGCTCACGGCTCGTACCGTTCTGAACCAGCATGCCCTCAGTGACGGATAGGGAGCCGTTGTTAGGGGCTGGATCTATCTGCAGCAGCTTGCACATTAGAGGGTAGATGTGGACACTGTCAAAGGGCTCGGACAGATAACTCTTCTTGAAATCTGGTCCAAAAGCACGGAAGATGGTCTTCATGTCCATTTCGTCCATGTGGAATCCATGATCTCCTTTGTTCACGTAGACGATCAACCGCTGTTGAAATTATATGCATATTATAATATATATATTTAAAAAAAAATCTGTGATATTTTTACTTTACCATTTTTTACTTTATACATAGCATATGACGTGTCTTAAAAGTTAATACCGGTACCTACCGAGTTTAAGTTGAAACCTAGATCAGCAATGACAATAATAGGCTGTATTCTGTCATTCTTTGACAAATGAAAGTTCTCTGGCATATCTTCCTTCTTGTAGACTGTGAGGTTTGGGGCCTTCATGAGAGCATCATAAACCTGCTGTTCCTTTCCTTTCCTTGGTGTGATCATGCCAAACCCGCCGTAGTCAAGGAGCTCAAAATAAACCGTGTTGAATAAATTCAGGTATTTAGAGAGGATTATCTCATCTACAAGAGGTCTTTTTTTAACGGTGGTCATGCCATGGTCAGAGGTGATGATGACGTTAAGGTTATCAGTCAAACCATCTCGCTGGATGGCCTCCCTCAGGTATCCAATGGTGCGGTCAATCTGCTTTATTATGGTTTTCCTGTCAGGATGGTCTGGTCCTTTGGCATGACCCACGTTGTCAGGCTCTCCATAGTACAGAGTCACAAAGTCAAAATCTTCTTCGGTGAACCAGCTCAACACAGTGTCAATATTCTGACGCCACTCTGTTTCGTTATCATCTTGTTGACCTGGTTCCTCAACCAGCGCCCGGTTTACACATTGACCACTGTAGTTGGCTGCTCCTCCTGGAAATAAAAAGGAACCTGTTTTCAGGCCCTGAAACAGAAGAAAAGGTATGGACATTGACCATTATACTGGCTAATGTATGTATGCTTCTAATCAAAGGGGTGTAGTAGGGGGTCTCCAAGGTTAACTTTCATCAGAGCTACTTTCATTCACTTACATGGGGGAACAAATATTTGATACACTGCCGATTTTGGCAGGTTTTCCTACTTACAAACATGATAGAGGGTCCTGTCATTTTTTTCATAGGTACAACTTCAACTGTGAGAGACGGAATCTAAAACAAAAATCCAGAAATTCACATTGTATGATGTTTTAAGTAATTATTTGCATTTTATTGCATGACGTAAGTATTTGATCACCCTACCCACCAGTTAGAATTCCAGCTCTCACAGACCGTTAGTTTTTTCTTGAAGAAGCCCTCCTGTTCTCCACTCATTACCTGTATTAACTGCACCTGTTTGAACTCGTTCCTGTATAAAAACACTGTCCACACACTCAATCAAACAGACTCCAACCTCTCCACAATGGCCAAGACCAGAGAGCTGTGTAAGGACATCAGGGATAAAATTGTAGACCTGCAAAGGCTGGGATGGGCTACAGGACAATAGGCAGGAGCTTGGTGAGAAAGGCAACAAACTGTTGCGCAATTATTAGAAAATGGAAGAAGTTTCAAGATGACGGTCAATCACCCTCGGTCTGGGGCTCCATGCAAGATCTCACCTCGTCACCTCATCAATGATCATGACGAAGGTGAGGGATCAGCCCAGAACTACACAGCAGGACCTGTCAATGACCTGAAGAGAGCTGGGACCACAGTCTCAAAGAAAACCATTAGTAACACACTACGCCGTCATGGATTAAAATCCCTGCAGCGCACGCAAGGTCCCCCATGCTCAAGCCAGCGCATGTCCAGGCCCATCTGAAGTTTGCCAATGACCATCTGGATGATCCAGAGGAGGAATGGGAGAAGGTCATGTGGTCTGATGAGACAAAAATAGAGCTTCTTGTCTAAACTCCACTCGCCGTGTTTGGAGGAAGAAGAAGGATGAGTACAACCCCAAGAAGACCATCCCAACCGGTGAAGCATGGAGGTGGAAACATCATTCTTTGGGGATGCTTTTCTGCAAAGGGGACAGGACGACATGCATCATATTGAGGGGAGGGATGGATGGGGCCATGTATCGCAAGATCTTGGCCAACAACCTCCTTCCCTCAGTAAGAGCATTGAAGATTGGGTCGTGGCTGGGTCTTCCAGCATGACAACGACCCGAAACACGCAGCAAGGGCAACTAAGGAGTGGCTCCGTAAGAAGCATCTCAAGGTCCTGGAGTGGCCTAGCCAGTTCTCCAGACCTGAACCCAATAGAAAATCTTTGGAGGGAGCTGAAAGTCCGTATTGCCCAGCGACAGCCCCGAAACCTGAAAAGATCTGGAGAAGGTCCTGTATGGAGGAGTGGGCCAAAATCCCTGCTGCAGTGTGTGCAAACCTGGTCAAGACCTACAGGAAACGTATGATCTCTGTAATTGCAAACAAAGGTTTCTGTACCAAATATTAAGTTCTGCTTCTCTGATGTATTCAAATACTTATGTCATGCAATAAAATGCAAATGAATTACTTAAAAATCATACAATGTGATTTTCTGGATTTTTGTTTTAGATTCCGCTCTCACAGTTGAAGTGTACCTAGATAAAATTACTGACCTCTACATGCTTTTGTAGTAGGAAAACCTGTATCAAATACTTGTTCTCCCCACTGTAAATATAAGTTCACAGTAGTTTCTGTAGCTGTCAGTAGGAGGACTGTAAGCTAATTCTGCATATTTGACCCAATATTTTATTTCCAGGATCAAATCATGACCAGTTTCCTCACCTGGTTCTGTGCTGTAATCCAACAACGGCAAGGCTCCATTGTCCCACCACTCAGACCTCTTCAAGGTAGCTTTATGGCCGACTTTCTGATGAGTTGTGGAATTAAACATCATATTGTGAACAACTCCATGATCCTCTATCCATCTCCCTGTGAGAGATATGAGAAGAAAAGATCATGATATCTAAATATTTGTTGATGCCAGCAACCTTCCAGGTTTAATTGTCTTTTTCGTCATGACATTATGATAATGTCACGGTTTCGGCCGAGGGCTGCTCCTTCTCTTGTTTCGGGCCAGGCTTCGGCGGTCGTCCGCCCGGAGTATAGTACCCCGTTCGATGTTTATGTTGTTTGGTTTTGGTTGGTTGTACACCTGTCCCTTGTTAGTCTTTGATTTTGTTTCCTATTTAGTTTACGTGGTTGGGTCAGGGTTGTATGTGTGATTATTATTGTCAGCTGTTGCCATTGAGGAGTTTCCTCTCTCATAACTTTGTATTTGAGAGTTCGCACTGCGTGCGCTTTTTCTTGTATTTCGCACTGTTGGTTGTTGTGCGTAATTGTTCGTGCCAACCCCGGTTGGTTGGCGACTCATTCCTGTTTTGGATATACTAAAGTCTGTTGACGAACCCCCGGGTTTCCTGCGCTTGATTCCCTGCCCAAAATCCCACTATGGAATCGGGCAGGAGCAGCCGCGCCAACGGACATTATGGAAGACCGTCTTCGTGGGCAGGAGGACAGGATCAACCAGATCGGTCACGCCCTGGATCAGGTGAATGAACACTCTCCACCGATGGAGACCAGGGGGGGTACCCACGCCCCCCACCTCCCGGGGACCATCCCCACGGTCAGTCCTCCTGTCCCCCTTCCGGAACCCCAGCGGGATTCGGCTCCCCCTCCCGAGGGCGTACGACGCTCCGTCCCGGGGTGTCAAGGGTTTTTTGTGCAAAGTGGAGCTTCCCTCGCCACCGTACACCGGCTCCCTCGGGACACGGAGAGCGTCTCCGCCCTCATCTCCTGTCTCACCGGAAAGGCGTTGGAGTGGGCCAACGCCAAAATGGAGGAGAATAGACGCCGCTACTGTTACCTATGCGGAGTTTCTCCCGCCGCTTCCGTGCCGTGTTTGACACATCCAACAGAGGGGAAGGCGGCGGGGGGGAGCGTCTGTTCTACCTCCGACAGGGGATGAGGAGCGCACAGGCTTTGCATTGGATTTCCCGGACTCTAGCGGCAGATGCAGGTGGAATGAGCGGGGCCCTCAATAGACCACTTCCGCTGCAGCCTCCGGGAGGATGTCCAGAGAGATTTTGGCGTACAGGGATCCCACGTTGTCGTTTGACCAGCTGGTGGGAACATGGCCATTCGGCTGGACACCCTGCTCCTACCCGTGGACTCCCGGTGGGGGTTGCCCATTCCACCTTCCAGCACTCCGAGCCGAGCCCTATGGAGCTCGGAGGTGCTGGCGCTGGGGAAAACGGAGGAGTAGGAAAACCGAGGGGGGCGTTCCCGCACCAACTGTGGCCGTGGAGGGCCCCAACCGCGGCTAGGTGTTGGGGAGGGTCTCCTGGTGGAGGTGAGGTCAGGCCAGGCATTGGGAGTCCTCCAGGTGAGTAGGCGCCCTACTTACCCAAGCTTTCTGTTTCACCTAACCTTGCCTGTTTGTTTTCCACAGGTTGCACCTGGGGTTCCCAGCATAAGGCGGCGGTAGATAAGGCGCAGCTGGAATTTTGTAGATCGCCAGTTCTGTGTAAAGTTGGGGGATTCCCCCTCCGTCCCTTGAAAAAGCCTTTCCCTGTACATGCCCTAGATAGCCTTTCCGTTAGGATCTGGGTTGATTAGGGAGGTCACAGCGCCTCTTTAAGATGGTTTGACGCAGGGGGGTCAATGAGGAGACGATTCAGCTCTATCTGATTGACTCTCCTGCTATGGGTGGTACTGGGGCTTCCCTGGTAATTACCCATGACCCTACTATTTCGTGGCGGGGAAAGAAACCCTCTTACAGGGTGGTCTGCTCAGTGGGTGGGGGCTGTGTCTGGGTGTTTCCATAGGGGCGGACCTCGGGGGGAGAGTCCGAATCTAATGCCAGTCATGCAGATTCCCCCTGAGTATGAGGTTTTGAAAACTGGTGTCAGTAAGACTAGGGCGGCGCAGTTTGCCGCCTCATAGACGGGGGATTGTGCGATAGATCTCCAGTCAGGAGCAGCCCCCGCGGAGCCATGTGTATTCCCTTGTCCCAAGAGGAGAGGAAGGCAATGGAACTTACATCGCCGAGTCTCTGAGACAGGGATACATACGGGCCCCCCATTCACCCGCTTCCTCAAGCTTCTTTTATGTGAAGAAAAAAGATGGAGGTCTGCGCCCGTGTATTGATTACCGGGGTCTCAATCGGGATTCCCAGTGAAGTACAGCTATCCACTTCCTCTGATTGGGAAAACTATGACGGAGTATTCAACAGGGGTGCTCAGTTCTTCACAAAATTGGATCTTAGGAGTGCTTTATAACTTGGGGGCGCATTAGAGAGGGCGATAATGGAAGACAGCATTTAGCACGCCCTCCGGTCATTACGAGTATCTCGTCATGGCCATATGGGTTAATGAATGCTCCCTCAGTCTTCCAATCCTTTGTAGATGAGATTTTCCGGGGACATGCAGGGGCAGGGGAGTATTCGTGTACATAGACGTATTCGGGGTGTACAGTTAACCCGAGCTGAGCATTTTAAAGCCCTGGTGCGCCGAGTGTTGAGGAGGCGTGTTGGAGCATGACCTATATGTCAAGGGCAGAGAAATGTCTGTTCTTTCAGAAGTCGGTCTCCTTTTTGGGTTATCAATTGTCGGGTCAGGGGTGAAGATGGAGGTTGCCCGGGGTTTTGTCAGCTGTGCGTAATTGGCAAACCCCAAAACCCCTGTGAAAGAGGGTGCAACAGTTCTTGGGCTTTGCGAATTATTACCGGAGGTTTATCCGGGGTTTTGACAGGTGGGGAGCTCCCATTTTCGTCTCTGTTGAAGGGGGGTCCCGGGGCGCTTGCAGTGGTCAGCTGAGGGGGGGACAGGGCTTTTGGGGGGATGAAGGACCTGTTTACTCAGCGCCGGTGTTGGGCTCCGGATCCCGCTTTTCCGTTCCGGTAGGGTTGACGCGTCGAGGCTGGTTATTGGGGGCCGTTTCTCACAACGGTTGGCACCCACTAAACTCCGCCCCCGTGCTTTTTATTCTAAGAAGGGTTCAGTCCCCGGCGGAGCGGAATTTATGACGTAGGGGACAGGGAGCTGGGTTTTGCCGTGGTAAAGGGCCCTAAAGGTGTGGGTGCTTGAGGGGTCAACACCTTGCCTCATTCAAGCAGGACCTGGAATCATTCCGGGGCAGCTGGAGATGAAACTCGGGCCCGGCGGACTATTACGCCGGTGGTTTTATCACAATCCTGGGTCCGAAGGGGGCAATGCCCGCGGCGATATGACAGGGAGGGAGGGTCCGGGTTGAGCCCACTTCACCGAAAGTTGGGTGCATGGGTGGTATGGAGGCGATGCCGAGGACGAGCGGCGTACGCCGGGCCCGGGGGGCCCCCAGTTGGCGGGGGTCGGCTAGCCCCTCGAGGAGCGATTGCCTATTTATTGGCTCATACTCCCTTCTGACATTCCAGGTATCGGCCCGGGAATTCATGCCGCCTAAGTAGGTGGCCAACGTGGGCCGGGGATGGGATTTATGTCTCCTTCCCGGTTGTGGCCTTGTAAAGGCCCCGACATTTGCCAGGGGAAGCAACCCTGCCCGGTCCACAAGACCCTGGCCACCTTCTGGAGTTTTACGTTCCCTCTACGGGGTATCCCATTGGTCGTTTGCGGGTGGCTGAAGGCTGTTCGTCCCCTACCATGCGGGCCGGGGTCTACCTACTGCCCTACAGGACGCTGAGGCTTGTTTCCCATGTCTTCGGCATTCCGGTCCCGGGATTAGTGATGATCGGAGGCCCCAGTTTACCAGAGTGTGAAAAGGTTTATGACCGTTGGGGTTTCGGTGAGCCGTTACCTCGGGTTTTACCACAGGGAGAAGTTAATGGGCCGGTTGAACCCTGTCCCAGTTGGTGGAGGTTTTGAGGGTTTATTGCCAGGAACCGGCCGGAGGAGTGGGGGATACGGTTCCGGGCCGGGTTGTTTGGGCCCCGGCTCTCTCCATCTCAACCAAACTAAAACCCCTTTTCCGGGTTTAGGGTTTACAGCCGGTTTGGACTTTGGGATGAGCCAGATCCCCCTGCGGTGGATGAGTGGGTGGGCGGTCGGAGGAGCGGGGAACGGGTTGCCCCGTTCCCTGCACGGGATTTCCGGCTTAAGACGAGGCGAGTCGCCACCGGCCCCGGGTTTAGGGGGCCTGTGTACGCCTGGGAGACGGGGCCCCCAGAAAACTTGGCCCCTCCCCTGCCCGCCGGGTGGTGGGCGCGTTTGTGGGCCATTTAGTCCTGAGGAGGTTTTGAAACGAGGGTGTACCGGTTAGAACTGCCATTGAGTAAGGAGAAGATAACCCTGTTGTCCATGGAGATGGTGTCTCTCCCCCCCAGGCCCCGGTGGTAGCGGTCCACTCCAGGGGATTATGAGGATAGAAGGAGATTGGCGCCGCCCCCCGTTGGACAACGGGGGGGTCGGTACACTGTGACGGTCCCTCCTTGATTCGAGACGCCGGATGGGGGGTCTCCAAACTCGGGGAGTGGGAGGGGGACGGCCCGGGGGGAGCGGTTGGGGGTGCCGAGGAGGGACAATTGACCTGGGCCTGCGGAAAGTTCCATGGGGTCATCTAAGCGCCCCTGCTCCGGTCGTCCCTGGTGCGTCCCAGAGGCCGGGATCGGGCGAAGGCGGAAGCCGCGCGGCAAGGGGGGGGGTACTGTCACCGTTTCGGCCGAGGTGCTCCTTCTCCTTGTCGGGGCAGGCCGGCGGTCGTCGTCCCGGAAAAAGTACAGCTACCACCGTTCGATGTTTTGTTTGTTTGGTTTTCTGGTGTACACCTGGGTTCCCTGTTAGTCTTGATTTGTTCCTATTTAGTTATCGTGGTTGGGCAGGGGGGTTTTTATGTTGTGATTTTATTGTCAGCTGTTGCCATTGAGGAGTTCCTCTCATAACTTTGTATTGGGAGGGGTTCCCACTGCGTGCGCTTTTTTTTGTATTCGCACTGTTGTTGTTGTCGTAATTGTTCGTGCACCCGGTTTGGGGTGGCGACTCATTCCTGTTTTTGGGAAACTAAAGTTGTTGACGAACCCCTGGTTCCTGCGCTTGATCCCTTTCCCCCCACATCCACACGCAGCGTTTGACAGATAAAACGTATCCAAAAACTCAGTGCTGTTGTTCTTCAAGGATATCGGAAATGGCATTTACAACTTTAATTGGCTTTGTACTATAATTATTTGAAAATATTGCATGGAATTTTAGATAGATATCATTGTCAAATAAGAGAAACATTTAGAAAAATTTGGTCTTTTCAGATTTGTGGGCTTTTTCCCGCATTAACAAAATGAAAACAGGGAAAGGGGATTTCCATTTCTTCAGGAATAGCACTAAGCACTAGGGTCAGATTCAAGTGTGGTCCAATTGCCCAGAAAATAAAGTAAGCAGCAAGTTTGAAGAGATTTGTATTTAAATAATTAGGAACCAAAGGATATGTTATGCCCATATAAGTGTACATATTAGATTGTGCTAAAACATTTACATTTTAGCGACACTCTTATCCAGAGCAAAATTAGGGGTTAACAGATTTTTCACTAGTCAGCTCGGGGATTCAAACCAGTGACCTTTCGGTTACTGGCCCAACGCTCTTAAACACTAGGCTACTTGCCACCAAGAACACTGGCAAGTGAGGCTACTTTGAAATGTGAGTAAGATCATGGTCAGGATTGGGTTTTTCTGGGCACACACCACAAAACAAAACTGTTTTATGAAAAACTGGGAGTATTTGGCCAAAGAAATCAATTGGCAATAATCCATCTACTACGCTACATTTGAACTTTGAAAACCAGATTTGAAACAGTAACTTGGGCCCGTATTCACATTTTACCCAAGGAAATACTTCTTATTTTTTAATGTACCTGATTGAGTACTTCAAACAAGCAGCTCAAATGCATGCAAAAAGTCAATAGCATTTTGTAACTCTTATGCCTTACCAGTTATAGTGGTGAAGTGAGATGGGGACGTCATGGTGATAGCCGGAGGGGTGATGTACTTTGCCTTCACTCCATCTTCCACTAACTTGTCCATGTGAGGGGTGTCTACGTCTTGATCATAGTCCCATCGGGGAAACCATCAAAGGAGATCACTAGCAACTTGTTGTGTGTCTCCTTGTTCAATGGTTTGCACTCTACACTGAGAAGAACTGCCATTCCCAAATACAACTCCAACCACATATTGTCTGGCTTGTCTGCACTAACTAATCCTGTTGGGCTCAATGGATTTAATTTATAGTCATCGTTGTGGTCAGGAAGATAGCATGTGTTCTGAGTGATATCTTCAAAGGACAAACCTTGAACGTGCCTTGCTTTTATGGACAGGAGGGGTGTTATCAATTGTTATCTGAAGAGAGATTCCACCTAAGATGCCTAGAAATTAGTCTATGGACCCAAGAGTGTCATTAACCCAAGACTAAGATCGGTCTACTCAGGTACTCAGCATAGAAGTAGAGTTATCTTTAGTTGAGAGTTAAGTAATGGGTCATGTAATGATGCTTTAATATCATGCCAGAGCCCAGAGGTTAAAAATACCACCCCTAGGATGCCACCTTGCTGTCCAAAATGCTCCACCAACAGCTTGTGTCCAAGGCAATCACCTTATCATGGAACACTTATAGATAGGCTGGAAAAGTGGGTAGGACTATCTGGGACAGTCCTTGATTGGTTCAGATCTTATCTAGATGGCCGGAGTTACTTTGTCACCATTGGTAATCATGAATCTGATAGGGTGGCTATGGACATGCGGAGTTCACAGGGATCAGTTCTCGGACCGATTCTGTTAAATCTCTATATGCTACCTCTGGGCCAAATTTTACAGAACAACAACATGAACTACCACAGCTATGCTGATGATACTCAAATATATATGGCTCTCGAACTGTATGACAACAGCTCAATAGACTCTCTGTGTCACTGTATAGAGCACATAAATACCTGGATGAACCAAAATTGTCTACAATTAAACCAAGAAAAAACTGAGATTATTGTGTTTGTATTAGTAAAGAGCTGGATTCTCGGGTCCTTAAAACCAGCGATCAAGTGCGTAATCTTGGTGTTCTGATAGACTCAGACCTCACATTTAACAGTCATATCAAAGCGGTCACCAAAACAGCATTCTATCATCTAAAAAATATAGCCAAAGGCTTGAGCCCAAACTAAACATGGAGGGAAGCTGCGTTTAGCACTTATGCTGTACACAAACGGGAAAAAAACTACCAAAAGATCTTAGATGTCCCCCAAACACCATTTTAAAATCCGGTTTAAAAACACTTTCTTTTCACGTGCCTACGATGATCATTTAAAAATTTAACCCACATGTTTAGCCTATGTTTCCTATGTTTTTACCCCATTTTTTTTTTAATTGAATCTTTAAGTTTTTGTATTTGTTTATTTTTTATTTTTATTATTAGAGTTTTCATATTTTGATAAACATTTTTTAAACACATGAATTGCTTCGATGTATAAATTGTGCTTATAATAAATTGTTTGCTTGCTTACAAAAAAAAACAATAAAACGACCCTGAAAAAACGAAATTAACTATTAACTTTTTAAAATCAATTATCCTTTGTACAGGCCGTAATCTTTTAGGTGACCCGGAGGGTCCCAACCCATTTAGGGGTTACCAGAGGTGAAACCCACCCCAGGTTGCCAAGCAGGTGTTTGCTGATAGGATTTATGAAAAAAAATTTTACTTTGTAGACGGGTTTTTGCGGTTCTCTCACCTACTCCTAAAATTAACCCATTAACTGAGTCGTTGGAGCTAAAGAGGCGGGTCGTTGTAATGGCTGGAAGGAATTAATGGTATCCAAAAATCAAAAAATGGAAACCCCAAAGTTGACTCCGTTTCCCTTTCTTTTATTCCAGCCCTTTCAATGAGCCATCCCCCTTAATCCTCCCACCCGCCTCCACTCCTGGATGAAAAGTTGTAAATCAAATTTTCAGTAAAATTAAGGGAAGGTGCCCTTTTTAGCCAAAAAAACTAGCAAATTATTTTAAGTTAATGACTTTTTTAACTGTAATGATAAAACAGTCCACATTCAAAAAACAATGCCCCTGACTTTACGTTTCGTTTTTTTTTTTTTTTTTTCCCTTTTTTTTTACCTGCCCCCCCCTTTTTGAGAAATTTTCTTTTTTTTTTTTTAAAATTTTTTTTTTTTTGTTTTTTGGTGTGTGGGCGGGGGGTTTTTGGGCAAATTTAAAAAGAGTGCCCCGGGGGGGTGGGGGATGGATGGGGATAAGCTAAAAAAGAACCAATTCTTTAGATTTTCAATTTTGGGAATGCACAGAAAGGAAACGGAAACCCTTGTTTTGGGGGTTGTTCCAAAAAATTTTTAATGTGACGACAGGGGTTTTTTTAAAGAGGCCTTTTTTGCTTAAGCCCAGACCCACTGGGATCATGACATGAAGAGGCCTCCCGCTGTTTTGGGTGTTCCATATATGTGGAAGGGGTAAGGGGGGTTTTTTGCCTGTTAAAATCCCCGGGGGGAAATACATGAGTTGCCGTGCGGTGGGTTTCCCACCACCAAAAAGTTTACCCAATCTTTTGGGTTTGAACCTGGTGCGTGTGAATGCTCCATGCTCCCCCACTATTTTTTTCAGACGGGGCGGAGAGCAAGGGGAAATGTTCTCGGGGGTAGACAAAAGCCGTTGCGTGAATGGTCATTTCCCCCAATGGCCCGAAAAAAAGTTCCTAATTCGCTAAAAAACCAAATTTAAAACAGCCA